TGCAGGGAGCGGCAGAGGGGGACGAGGGATGGAAGCCAGTGTAGGGATTGGCAGTGGGGGGTTGCAGACACTGAGCGGTTGGTTAGGTGAATGAGTCTAGACGCAGCATTCGTGATAGACTGGAGGGGGGAGGAGCCTGTGTAGTGGAAGGCCAATGAGGAGGGAGTTACAATAGTCAAGACGAGGGATAACAAGGGAGTGGATGAGTAGTTTTGTGGTGTCATTGGTGGAAAGGGGCGTATTTTGGAGATGTTACGAAGGTGAAGGCGGCAGGATTTGGATAGTGATTGGATGTGGGGAAGAAAGGTGAGGTCCGAGTCAAGGATGGCACATGGCACCTTGGCATGGGGGAGTGGTGGATGGTTGTGTTATCAATCTCAATGGAAAGTTTGGGGAAGGTGCACGGGGGGGGGAGGGAATACCATGAGCTCAGTTTGTGAAAGGTTGAGTTTTAAGAAGTGTTGTGACATCCAGACGGATATGTCAGTTAGTAGATTAGTGACACGAGAGGACACTGAGGGGGAGAGTTGTGGAGTAGAGAGATAGATTTGAGTGTCATCGGCATAGAGATGATACTGGAAGCCGTGTGAGGTTATTAACTGACCAAGAGAGGAGGTGTTGATAGAGAAGGGAAGGGGTCCAAGGACAGAGCCCTGGGGGACCCCTACAGAAAGAGGAAGAGGAAGGGAGGAGTTAGATTTGTAGGTGACACTAAAGGAGCGCTTAGATAGGTAGGAGGAAAACTATGAGCGAGCAGAGTCTTGTAGGCCAAGCGTATAGAGTTTTTGGAGGAGCAGCAGGTGGGTCGAAAGCAGCAGAAAGGTCTAACAGCAAGAGTAAGGAGTAGCGGGTGGTCAGAGTAACGAGTAGCGGCCATTGTTTTTAGCTGTTAGTAGGTCATTGGTGAGTTTTAGGAGGGCGGTTTCAGGGGAGTGTAAGGGGCGAAAGACAGACTGTAAGGGATCAAGAAGGTTATCAGCAAGGTGACAGCTGTAGATAAGGTGTTCTAGTAGTTTGGAGGTGAATGGGAGTAAGGAGATTGGTCTGAGATTGTTGAGGTCGGTAGGGTCCATTGAAGGTTTTGTGGATATTGGGGTGACCAGGGCATGTTTAGAAGGGAGGGAAAGATGCCAGTAGAGAGTGAGAGATTGAAAATGTGAGTAAGAGAGTGTAGGATGGAGTAAGAGGGTGACTGAAGTAGTGGTGAGGGATGAGGGTCTAGGACAGGGGCGCCCACAATTAGGGAGGAGAGGACATGGCGATCTACCAGTGATCGCTATGCGATTGACTGGTAGATCGCGATCGACCTTGTGGGCACCCCTGGTCCAGGGGCAAGTGGTGAGGTGGGTGTCAGAGAGAAGCTTTGTAACCTCCTCTGTGGTGACCGGGTCAAAAGAGGAGAGTAACAAGTGTGATGGAGGGTCTGGTACATTATTAGGGGAAGGTGACTGCACAGTGGCGATCTGATCCCGAATTGTATCTATTTTTTGTTTTTGAGATGAATGGCAATGTCCTGGGCAGTGAGTGAGTTAGTGGGTGATGGGGGTGGAGGACATAGTAGAAACTTAAAAACAGAAAAGAGATGACAAGGTCTGGATGAGAGCGTGTTAATGAGAGTGACAAAATAAGTCTGTTTGGCAGCAAGGAAGAAGGAATTATATTTTAGGAGGGCAGCTTTGTACAGAGTGAAGTCTTGCAGAGATCTAGTTTTCTACCACAGTTGTTCCAGAGCGCGACTATGTCTTTTTAGATGTCTGGTTTCTTCAGTTTGCCACGGATGTAGTGGACGTGGTCTAAGTCTGCGTGTAGTGAGGGGACACAAAGTGTCTAGGGAGGATGAGAGCGAGCTGTTATAGACAGGTCAGGGGTGAGATTTTGTCAGAGGTAGCAGAGAAGGGTCAAGGTGGCGAAGGTTTCTCCGGGTGACAGTGTGCCGTGTAGGGGGATTCATGGTTGGGGACAGGGCAAGGGTGAAACTGACAAGGCTGTGGTCTGAGAAGGGGAAAGGGGGGCTGAGAAACCGTGGAGGTCCTTTCCTTCATCCTAGCACCTAGGTCTCTCTCCTAGGTCCTGTTTAAGGACACTCCAATTTCCTCCTATTTTGTCATTGGTGCCGATGTGCACCATGACAACGGGGTCGTGCCCAACCCCATCTAGTAATCTGTCAATTCGTTCCGCAATGTGTCGAACACGAGCCCCCGAGTGCAAGGAGTGCAGGAGTAGGAGTGTCTGACCATTGTGTTACATCAAAAGAAGTTGGGTTAAGAGTGGCGTCACAAGGGGGGTGCGGCCCAAACCCGGGTGACACCATTGGAGGGGTGGCACCCAAAAGACGCACAGTCATTTTGGGGTATATCCCCTCCTCTCTCTGCCGGCGTCCATCACCAAGATGGCCGCCGGCAGGTATCAGAATACTGCCGCGCGTGTGCGATGACGTTGTGACGCCACGCGCATGTGCAGTGACGTCTCGGCGGGGTGACACTCGGTTACTGCTCCAGGTGTCACCCAGCCTCGGGACGCCCCTGGGGGGGGTATTTCTGAGGATACAGGCAGGATCATCAGGTGAAAAAGGAAAACAAATGCAGCCACCACATCTAAGGACGGGTTAGCTGTAACATGACATTTGTGTTTTTGGATACAATTTAACTCACTCGTAGTTTAGCAAGATTGACAAAGAACTTCTTGACGTACAGATGGCCAGCAGAGGAAGAATCTACAAACGTCACATAAAATAAAAACATGGAACACTTTTATAGTTTGTAGTTTCCCCTTACGCTAAGTAATACAATGACGTTCCCAGAACCAAATCTGGTGCAGGCTCTTCTCCTCAGTGTTATAAACAGAAGGTTGAAGTCAACTTGAATGTGAGCTGAAGATTAATGATAGACTTGCCTGAATCCGGACAGACCAGTGTCGTGTCTGCAGGCTACCGTGGTCATTTTCCTTCTACGTCCTGCAGCCCCTGAACCTGCCAGACAACATAACTGCATTAGATTGGCCAACCTCGCCGCACCCTTCTCTGGAGAAAAATCTATAAATATCAGGGGACGGGGACACAGGGGAATCAGTGCAACGAGTGGCGGCGGTGAGTGGCAAGGTAAGAGGAGAGCATGCTTCAAATTCACTGATGCGTACATTTGGTACATTTCTCAGATGAATGGCGATTAGTTCTAATAAGATCGTCCCCAAAAAACTTACAGGGGTCTTAACCATTTAACCATTTCCCACAATAACCAAAACAAATTTTTTAGCTTATTGGCTCATTTACATGCGCATTACCATTACCTGTTCTATGTGCATTGCAGTGCTTTACATTGTGAATGGCACCCTACCGCAGTGTACAGTGCAGCCAACACACAAGGCACCAGTGCAGAACGATGCACCGCAACACATACACTGTGCATTGTGGTGAGCTGCATCTTCAAAAAAAAAAGGGTCATGCACGTTTTTTCATCTGTGGCATGTTGGCCATAGCACGGATGCAGTAACATTTACGTGTGAATGGGGTCCTACATACAGTTCAGCCCAGATCCATCGGGCTCTATTGCTGGCTGGAAGCTTTTCAATCAAATGAATGATCAAATAAAATTGAACGCCAACCTGCTGAAACGAGAAAAATTGTGCTGGAAATATTCCCAATCTTCACTCTAGTTTCAGGTTCAGACGCTTAACATGGGTAACCAAAGCTGTGACGGAACGCTGTGCGCCCCTTTGTTATCTGTGAGAAATTATAAAATTGCATTGTATATGGCCAACATTCACATCTAATGGTTCCATCGGTTCCGTCTGTACCGGTTCCATCGGTTCTACTGATTTGCTCACTGTCCCATTTTTATTTCAATCAAATCTGATGGAAAGCTTCAAATATTGTTACAAGATTTCCAGATGTATGGATGGAATTGGGACAGGTCGGCAACTAATCGGATACATTGTCACCCCCAGACTTACAGTTCTGCTACCGGCCAACCAGAGCTGGAGCTTAGTTCAAACAATTCTAATTTCCTTAATAGCTGAGAACACTTCCGGAATTTATTTAACTAATTAATTATTATTATTATTAATATTATTTTTACTTTCATATTGTTGTTGATGAAATGTATATATTTAAAGTTGATCTTCTCCTTAAAGTGACACTAAACTCAGAAGTTAAACCTAAAAAATACATTCCAGTCCCTGAACTATGAACAACAATGTATCTTATTTGTGTATCACTCGGCTGTAGATCCTCCAATCATCTCTGAATTGGTGCTGACTCTGTCCTTCCTTCTGGAGGGGGGACTACGTCTGTTCCCCATGGTACCTGTGTGTGTTGTAAAGTAGTCACTGCTCCAAGCTCGCTCCGGGGATGGACTACAATCTCATGTTTAGTTTATTAATTTGTATCGAGATTGAAGTCCATCCCGGGAGCGAGCTTGGAGCGGTGACTACTTTACAACACACACATCGCTCTACAATGCATGGTAACTTATTATACTGTCATTCTTCTGGACATGATGTAAAAGAAAAGGGTCGCGTACGTCTTTGGTGACATTTAGATGCAGTAGGCAGACCATTCAAATGGATCGGCTGTCCTAGCACAACGCACGGTATCACGTGTACAAATGTGCTGCAATGTACGAGGATCAATCAAAAAGTAATGCCTCCAGGTCTGTAATGTGAGATCTATTAGAGTGACTGTTCATGATATTGAGTGATTAGAACCATGGATCTGCAGCTAAAACAATGAACTGTTATTGAATTTATGGCAAAAGAGGGTTGAGGGGAAATCCACAATCGGCTTAAGAATGTTTATGGGGACGCTGTAGTGGACACTAGCAATGTGCGGCGTTGGGTGAAGAAGTTTCAAGAAAACAAAATTTCACTACAACTGCCCCATAAACATTCTTCAGCTGATTTTGGATTTCTCTGCGACCCTCTTTTAGCAGAAAGGAAAAAGAAAAGCCTACATTAGTGGGGTGAGGACACCTCTATAACATGGGACATTCACAGTTACTAATGGATGTCGAATTACAGACATGGAGGCATTACTGTTTGGTTGACCCTCGTACATGCAATGTCACATGTGTGACATTGCATGTACATGTAACAACAACGTTGCATGTGACAACAACGGCTTCTTTAAGTGCATTGCTGATGTCTTGCCTCCTTTGCATTATGTTATCACACACCTGACTGCTCCAGACCAGCAAACTGCTAAAACCTCAGCTTATATAGAGGTGGTCACACTTGCTGATGATCAATTAATCAAATGCATTTTGATTAGCAGCACCCGGCTGATACTTAGCCTCTTAATTCCTATGGAAGCCGGGAGGGTGTACTTAGTTTTTCACACATTCTCCATTTTGATTTTATGATGTAAAATAAATAATGAAACGGTGTAATAGGTCATGTGTTGTATGACACAGAGTAATATGCCATGTGTTGTTGTTCATCTGAGGTTGTATTTACCTAATTCTAAGATCTGCTAAGGACCAGATGATTTGTATTATGTCCTGATACTTAAAACCATAGAAATCAAAAAGGGTGTACTTTCTTTTTCACATTTCACGTGACTGTATATCTATGTCACTGCTGTTGTAGAGAAATTTTTTCTCTGCTCGGGGCTATGAAGAAAATTTAAGGTAATTGGGTGCATCACATATGGGAGCGAGCAGAACTGCCTGTCACATTACTTGCTCCCGGGCCACATACCTGCTCAGGGCTGGGTGCATGGCAAAGTGATAGGTCGGGTACATAGCCACCGGCAACCTCAGTTATTAGACAGGTACAGACCCACCTGCAGGCTAAACCACGAATATCGCTGACAACAAACATCTGAACGTACTGAAAAATCACTGCAGCTAATTCAAAATTAGAAATCAAAAAGCTGTTTGGCAATCAGTTGCGTCCAGAACAGTATTTCTCAACCATTTTCATTCATGGCACCCTTTAAAAGAATGCAAAATCTTAAGGCACCCAGTTTAAAATGTAAAAACAAAAAAATGTGGCTCCTACTAAATCAATACCAAACCCTTCTCGGCAGGGCCCCATACAAATACTCAGGAAAGAATCAGAATCCTCCTTTCATCTTAGAGTCCCCCCC